CTCTCTGACGACCAAATTTATCTAAAGTGTTGTTAACACGTCCCATTTTTAGATAGAACTAACCTAGTAATTATCAATCATTGGCTTATAAGGGAAACTAACCAAAAGTAAAGGGTGAAAACAAAAAGCGAAACAATATGTAGGTATAAAGATTTATTATTACATTAGCACAATTAACTAGCCTTAATTATTCACAACTTTCTACTTCTAGAGTAATTTCAACTTGTTCATTTCTTCAATCATCATCACCATCACTGGGGCCGCCTTCCGGTACTAGCTCATATTTTGCTACCAATTCACTTAGCATATGTGGTATTTCGATGAGATATGTTTTCAGACCTTCCTCGATCATTCGACTACAGAATTCATCAAGACCAAAGGAACCATACAAATATCTTCGGCACAAGTTTGCTCCGGCATTGAAGTTGATGGCATCTTGAACCTATTTCGAATAATTCTGACCATTTGCAGGAACATCCGTGTTGAAATATTCGAAATGTAATATTTCCTGGGCCATGTCTCCTAGTTTGCGCGCCAGCCAGATCACGTAGAAATCCAATTCTTCATTAACACTTGGTGTGTTATTGCTGATGTCACACATCTTTAGAAATATTTGAAATATGAATGTATCCTTATATGTACAAATTACATTACCCTAAAACTCATTACATTTTTCGAAAACTATTGATTAATAATATGCTGTCCACCCCCATAATGTAAAATCTATTCCAAAGACCCGAAATTTAAAAGAGACTTAGAGTTACCCCCATATGAATGCGAACTTTGCCCCAAATATGATAACGTGTATTTTTCAGAAGAAGAATTTATAATTTCGACGGTGTTCTCCGGTAACATTTCGGCTACACGCTTTGGCAAAAATGTTTCAAAAGTCACATCTTCTGTTTTATCATACAATGTGGCAAGAATAGTTTTACCAAACCGTGTTACCATCGGCACCAGTTTCCTAATTATGTAAACTTCGTCCAACTTTAAAGAAGAAACTTTTCTTCTTTCGAGAAAATTAACATCTTTGTTGAGCATATTATTAATTTCAACCAAGGTATTTTTTGAAATACTCATAATTTATGAAAAATGTAACAGATTATACGGTACCTTGAATATGCACTTTCAGAATACTTCACTAACACAATATTTCTAGTTAACTTTCAAGTGAGCGAGGTCGTAATACAAACGATGCCCGTGTGACTATAATAACTTTCCTCGTTCCGAAGAGATTTTATAGGTATCTTGGGGTCGTCTGACAGAGGGGAGGGGGGATCTGAAAATTCAAGGCCAAATTCAAGGCCAACTATGTTTGAGAAGTGGGGGGTGGGCTCGAGTTTGTGTGGTTCCAACAAGATCCGTTGCGGTTTTTTTCCTTTCTTCTTTGTCACATAAGTTTGTAAATAAAACAACTGTTTATACAATATTTTTAATAATACCAACAATAAAAACATCTTAGAATAAATTCATCTTTACAACATACAACAATACAAAATATTGTAAAACATAAAAAATTAAAAATTAAAAAATAAAATACAAAATATGGATTTTCCAGTTTTCAGGTCTGACATTCACCAATCAATCATCCTTCGACAAAAGCTGTTCACACATTCTTAACATATTTTCTATATTATCTGGTTCGATTAATACATTTTCTGGATTGTTTTGATCTGATAAACCTTCTTCACACATACTGGTTAAAATCTGTTGAATCTGTTCCGGTTCCGTCTTATGAAATATAATATTTGTATGACCCCAAGGTAGAGTTTTTATCGAATTTGGTATTATAAAGCGTTTATCATCATAGTGGGAGAGAGCGACCTTGTTTAATATTTCTGTATAAACATCGTGCCGCTCACTTCGGAAAGTTTTCATTTTTCGAAATATTAAACCACCACTCTCGACAACTTTGCGATAATCTTCCAGGTGAATGTGTTTTTCGACTACGGATTTCTTGATACCTTTTGCTTTTTTCAATTCATTCTTCAATGATTTGATGTAATAGGCTTTAGCTCCGGTACCAAAGAAAGCCGTTATCGGATCACCTGGAAATTCATCTTTCATACGACCAGGTACCGATTCACTTTTCCTAATATTAAAAGGGTTTCCACAGGTCCAATTTGATGTGTCGAATTTGTCTGGGTTGTCTGCGATAAAACGATAGAAATCATCTGTAAACACTTTTAATATTAGGGAATCCGTGTCTGTGTACAGTAAGGAAGCATCACTACCAAACTTTTTCTTGATGAAGTTGTAGAAAAAATCATAAATCACTATTTTTGATATGTCCAATATGGGAAACCCGATATATATCGGTCTATCATAGACTACTTTGACCTTATCCATATGAATTGCTACAAAGTCTTCAGTGAAATATGAACAGCAATTGAAATTAGGACGAGCTATTAATGCCCTTGCTCCAACTCTACCGACACTGTTTTCCCACTCTGTTATTAATTTTATATCTTTACGGTTTTCCACATTTTCCATGGTCTTGCCAAAAATCGCATTTATAATTAATTTGAATAAATCCCTACCAAATTTTGTTTTTGACAAATTGCGTAATGTTGTGTTGAAATCGATGTATTTCTTCAACCACTTTGACTGGTTGAATTTCAAAACTCTATATGTGTTTGCATTACTATTAGGCCGTTCGAAATAGCTTGTTTTAGAGTTCTGTAATGTACAATATACTTCCGCTTGCTATTTAAATTTGGAATTAATTTTTTCATTTTTGCCGATTCTGTGGGCGGAATAATACTTTCCACTAAAAAAGGAAGGTCAGCATGAGCATCTTGTAAACTTTCTGGATAGCATACATCAACTTCTAAAACATAGCCTTCTGAATTATCATCATCAACATCCAAAATATTTAAATGATTTATTTCATGTTGAGATAGCCATTTAAAACCACCTAATGGCAATGCTTGCGACATACTGTGCCCATACAAATTTGTCGCATCAAGATATGTGATAAATGATGATGGTTCCGCGGAATTATAATTTGGTAAGTATTTGTTATTTGCTATATGCTTCCTTTCAGTACACTGACTTATACCACCGCGAATACCTTTTTTAAAAAAGTGAACCATGTCAATATCTGTCAATAGTTCCAACTCTACCTTAGTCATACGCAGCATGCAATCAAATGATAAACCTGGAAGTGTATAATATTGTGCTGGATCCAGTTTATAAACATTCAGACATGTATCGCGAAATTGTTCGAAAACATCACTCAGTAATGTCACATCCGACTTGAGATACACATCTGAATATTCGCCCAAGTTCTTACACTGAAACAAACGCCAAACCTTCTTTGCTCTATCGTAATATTCATCGCTGATATCTTCTTCACGTAAAGTATCAAAAAACTGGTCTTTTGTTGGAAGAGATGGGTAATTCATTTTTTCCATTGAATCAACAAAGCTATACGGGAAAACACCTTTTTGACGAACTAAATCGAATTGCTCATCATCGGGAAAATACCTTCGTGTTTCCTTGAAACTATCAATTTCCAATCCATCACCCAAATTTTCCAAAGATGTCGATAAAAATTTAAAACTGTCGATAAATCGTAGCTTTAAATATATTTTTTTTAATGATCCAGTTTCTTTGTCCATGTAGTCATGCACATAAATACTCTTTGTGAACGATATATACTTCTCCTTACTCTGAGCTATAACATTAATCTTATCACCATGACGACACAGTTCTTTAATGAACAAATGACAGTCATAGCCGCTCAAATTGTGGAATATGATAGGAATAAAATTAGGTAATTTATAGTTTAAATTACAGTGGGAATGCGCACCACCAGGTCTTTTCTTTCCCGTTATATGACAGTGGTCTCTAACTTTAACATCATTTTTGTTAAATGGTTTCTCACAAATAGCACATGTTATTGCATTTTTAAAATCCAACTCTTCGTCAGGTGTTAGACGATTCATCGGTTTTATATCTTTACAATGGGTATTATACAGATGCCTCAAATCGTTTTCCAAGCGCGAAACAAAAATTTGGGCTGCATCGCTTCCGCGATATACCTCAAACTTTGAAACTGAATCATCAAAGGAGCATTTTATAAGATATGCAAAAGAATACGGTTCATGTTTGACGCTTTTTATTGTGTAAGAGTTATGAGGGTTTGGTTCACTAGTGTCCAGCGGTTTTAAAATTGATTCGAAGTCTGCATAAACCACAAATGGAACACGCATTTGTTTTTCAATATTCTCAAATTTCATTATATTCTCCGGTACAATGCTCCCAAATTTATCAGTCTTTGGATCTGTTGTTGGTGTCCGTGTGTATACATGATTACAATCATTTTTCTGATGCATCATCAACTTAAATTGTGAATCAAAATGAGTGAGACAACCGTCACAAAAGTATAATCTATTCTCTCTTTTGGATATTTGACTAGATACCAAGCGTGACAAGTTTTTTATCCAACAATAATGACTTTTGGAACAGTTAACATCACAAACATGTCGTACATCACCATCACTTTTGATACTGCAATCTTCAGTTACCAACAACAAATTGACATGTCGTAGCAGTTTTCGATCGGAATATCGTAATGGACCAACTACTTCATATTTCAATTTATTATTCTCGAATAATGATTGTATCCCATACACATTGACTGATATATTATTCATTTGCTCAAACTTTTTAATATCACTCAACTTTACTGGAAAATCCATACCTGTTAGATCCAGAACTCTCGCATAGTGTGGGTAAGATGTTATCTGAGAAGCCATTCTAGCTGCGGGAAACAATGCTGATGTGACAGCCCAAGCAAAACAGCACTGGTCCTGGTTTATCACATTAATGATAGCACCTTTGTTCTCTATGCTTTTGGGTAGTTTGATGTAGGATGAGCCACCGACTGGCCTGAACTCGTTGATAATTACCTCCAAGTAACGAATTTTCCTTAGAGCCCATCCTGTAAATTATAGATTTATGTTATTAATCTGCACAGTTCCACCCGCTTATTATTACATACCTGAATCTTTCTCCTGGAACTCTGTCGATTTTGTTTTCATTACTTCAACAAATGATTGATAAACTTCATTCAGATCACTTCCAACAGCTATAATTTTGTTGGAGGTATTGAATGATTTTTCTGAATGCACATCTTGTGTTGGGTGATAATATAGTCCAGCCACAACCATATTCACTTTAATTGCACCATGTAACCCCAACGCCTGCTCCAACACATTCAACACTTTCACAATAATCTCGTTAAAAAATACTGTAAAGTCAATGTGGTCAGTATCGCTGCTTATACGGTATGTTGCAATCCTATTTCTGAAAGCGCTGTCCACACGTTCTACACCATCACATAATGGTATACATGAATTATTTCTATGTTGTGCCGTCCTCTGATGCGCCGCCATAAAATTTGCAGGTACTGTAACATCGCATAACGCACACGTTTTCATGGATACCGCACCAACGAATCTAGGTCGCTTTCCTCCAACCTCTTCAGGAATAAATCGTGACATGCACGATTCCCTCTTATGACGCAACATACTATAATTACGGCTAAATGATACACCACAATATTCGCAAACGTAAGCCATTGTAATTATCACGACGCGGTTGAATGGAACTTTTCCACAAAAATTCTCATACTGAAGATCAAACACCTCCCACCCATCATTATATTTGAACAAATCAGGGTCACGCACCAACTCAAGGCTGCACACACTCAAGCAAATCAGGGTCATGCGCCAACCCAAGGTTGCGCACACTCAAGGTCGCACAGAAACTCAAGGCCAAGGTCGTGTGACGTCAGAACATTACTAGGTCATTTTTCAAGGCCAAGGCCAAGGTCAGCAACGTGACGTCATAGGAGTGGGGGGTGATGAGTAACCACCATATCGACTCTACTACCTTAAATTTTTTAAATGCTTGCCATGCAATTGCATTTTTACTCAAACAAGTAGTTTTCAACGGAGAACATTGGACCCAATGGAAGATCATATTTTTACCTCTGAGATTTGCCTGGAAAAATCCGTTGGCAAATTTAAATCTTATTACTGGCTAATAAATGTAATAGAATAAAAGAAATCTAAATAGGGGTTCAATTAAAAATAAAATTACCTTAAAATATATAAAAACAGCGGCACCGAACTTGGTGTTCTACTTAAACAATGGGAATGGACGAAATGGTAGTTACTAGAGTCAACAACTTGGTCCATCCACGATCATACGTCGACTTGACACAGTGACAAGACAACCAAACCTCACACCCTGACCTAACTAATCAAACCAAAGTGATCGAAAACTTCGAAAAGATGATAACAGACTTTTTCTACGTAGATTCTAGTGGCGTTCTCAGTTTTTTTCTAGAAAAATGAAATTTTTAAACCAGAACATATAATTTCAATGATTCAGAGTTCGATACAGTTTTCGAAGGAAAAAATTATATGTGTGGTGTGTGTTGAAATAACGTCTTTAAAACGTCTTTAACAAAAAACATATCAAAGAGTGCTTAGTGCTTTGGTTAGGAAAACGTAAAGTTCGTCGATTTTAATCTGATACTCCGAAGGAATGTGAGCTGGCGGCTCCCTACATTAGAACGCCAATGGTCACCTGACGTCACACCTGTTATTGCCATAAGCTTCACCCCCTCGCTCCTTATACAGAAACTGTCAGATTGAAAACGACGGACGATACGTCCTATTATTGTTTCTATATTGGTCAGAGGATTTTTGACATGACATTTTGACATTAAAGTTCATTGGATCTCGCACACCTTATATGGAATTTCGGCGATCGGTCGATTTTTTTCAAATTTTGATTTTTGTTTTTTTTTTCAGATAAAAGTCAAAATAACCCGTGAATCTATATGTTTTCAAGTGTACCGATTCTCCCAACTTCTACCCGATATCCCAACTATCTCAACTGGTTGAACTGGTTGCGGGGATGTCCTCCCCCCTATTCCTCCCATACTTGCGTCCCTGATAATATTTATGCAATAAGGTTTCATACTCAATTCACTTTATAGTCATTTCAATCATTGAAGCCATATTGAAGAATTGATAAAGTCAAAATAAAATTTGTCACTAGAGTACTAACATTTTAAATTATCGCCCTTATAGTCACCTAATTATTCTAATTATTATTTACTTCAAAATAGCTAGAGCACTCACATAAAAACTGACAGGTTTACTTCTTTCTCAATTCGAGTTATTTACTGTAATTTTTACTTTTCCGAGGCCTGACTTTTTATACTTGAGATAATTCGCCAATAGGGTACTTGCATGGAAAATTAAATTGATTATTGTTTATTGCAAACTGTAGGAAATCGAAAAAAAATCGTTACTTTTTTTTCATTTCGCCCAAATATGATTATTTCGGAAGTTATACAAATATTAAGTTTTGTATATATAGATATACTGAGCATGTGCGACGTCATAAAGTATTATACCTGATGACGTCATAGGCATATTTCATAGCGTTGTATCTCCGTCAATTTTTGACTAAGAAGAAAAAGAAAAAACACGTGTTGACTTATTTTTCATGGACTATCGAAATCAGCAATAAAAAAATTTGATGCAAGGGGCCTATTCTGAATACTAATAAATATTGAGTCTAATTCTCGATAATTGATTGCTTTAGACCTCGCACATAATGTTGAACGAATTTAAATGTTCTTTCTTTCACAATTTTCCGTTATTTATTTATTTATTTATTCAATCCTTAGTCCATCTGATACATTGGTATATTGGATGTGTCTTCTATATACCCTAGCATTTTTGACCAGTTGTACACAAAATTGCATAGAACTCCATAGGATCAAATGGTAAACACAGATAACTTTTGACAAAACATGGCGAATATTCTGGAACCAATCAAAAATGAGACTCGCTATTGTCACACTCACCACTGTCTTGTAGAGAGACACTGTACCATGGTGAATACCAAAAACTTATTAATCAGTCTGACAGCACATTTAAGAGACCGATAAAGTTTATGTCGTTGGTGAATACGGCTAAAGACAAACACACCTCACAGAGTACCATTGCAGAGTACCGTACAGACGTATAGTTGAAATCACGATAGAAAGTGAAGTTGACAGTTCGAGTCGAACTTTCTAGTAAATTTTTCTGATATACATTTCAGAATAAAAATTTATAAAAATTTATTTTCGATTTCTATTAAAGACCCAAGCAGCTCAGCGGTCGTGTCTTCGCTTTGCATGCAGTGGGTCTCGGGTTCGAATCCCGGCTAGGTGCATGGATGTTTGTTTGTTTGTTTGATTTGGTTTGCGTGTGATGTTCGAGGCTTTGTCGACAAACCACAGTGGTGGTTCCTGACAAGAAAGCAGATAAAAAAAAAAAAAAAAAGGAAGTAAATTAGTAAAACTCAAAAATTCAAAAATTCAAAAATTAGGGTCCAAAGTAAACACTTATAAAAGAGTACTTAAACACTTCTCAAATCCAAACTAAAACCCAGGTTTGAAACGCAACACCGAAACACAAAACACAAAGGCACATAAAAAACCAAAATACCGATTGTGAATATGACAAATCAAAAAATAATGCAGAAAACGGCAAAAATCTGAAACGATTTCACACAAAAATTCGAAATTCAAAATTCAAAGACCGGCGGCCTTATTAAAACTTGCGACCGCAAACCCACCTACATAACAAAATTGCATCCTTAGAATGTAATAAGAATGTTCTTTTTTTAGAAGGAATGTGCCTAGAATGTTCGCCAAACCATTGCGAATGTCCTGAGAATGTTCTGAGAAAAGATTGTAGAAATACTGTTTGCAATACCCAAGAACTTCCTGGGAAATCCATTAGGATACTCCTAGAATATACCTATGAGATTCTCAGTACATCCTGAAAAGGATATTCCTGTTTGATTCTAAAAATATGCTCGAAATGTATATTCTCACATTCAAAGAATATTTCTATGACATTATAGTTATGTTCTCAAAAGAATATTATACCAATATGCTTGAAATATGCTTAGAATATATCTACATATATCATTCTCAATATGCATCCTAGACATAACATCTTGTTTGATTCTAGGAATATACTTGGAATGTTAATTTTCGCTCCCACGGAGTTGTTGGAAAACTTGTCTGGAAAACACAAGTGTTTAATCAAAGCTCCGGTTTCGAGCTTGTTATGCTCGTCGCGGTAAGCACGCCAACTGAAAGAAACAGGTTCCAAGGTGATTCAAACGCTAGGCAAGATGTAGATCTTTAATAGCGCGTGGCTCCCTCTCTTGGATGTCCTACAAAGCAAAAGAAAAAGAATATACCTATAATATTCTTAGTAGGTTCTAGATAGAGCATTATTGTTTAATTGTTCAATTAAGATTTTTGAGTAGGTACTTTAGATATAATTAGGTGAAGAATATGAAAATATTCTTATCATGGTTACCTACCTACATAAACTTCTTAGCACAACTTGGTAGGTATATTCTTAATACTTGATAGACATATTAGCCGAAAGAACATTTTTAAGGGTACATTATAATAATGTTCGTATGACAATATTCAAAATTCAAATAATGTTATATAAAGTAGGTTCTTCCCACATAACAGTGAAAGAACATTCATATTCTCAGAATATTCCCTCAAAGTGCTTTTTGGAATGTTCTTTTAGGGATGTTTAATGAATATTCTAAGATTGTTTCGATTGAAATATTCATTTTTGAACGTTCTATTTATGTACTAGGAATGTTGCTTCTATGCACCTACCTGAAAGATTGTGCTAAGAACCTACTTTATATAACATTATTTGAATATTCTCAAACGAACATTATTATAATGTACCCTAAAAAATGTTCTTTTGGCTAATATCTCTATCAAGTATTAAGAATATACCTACCAAGTTGTGCTGAGAAGTTTATATAGGTAGGTAACCATGATAAGAATATTTTCATATTGTTCACCTAATTATCTGAAGTACCTACTCAAAAATCATAATTTAACAATTAAACAATAATCTATCTAGAACCTACTAAGAATATTATAGGTATATTCTTTTCCTTTTGCTTTGTAGGACTTCTAAGAGAGGGAGCCACGCGCTATTGAAGATCTACATCTTACCTCGCGTTTGAATCACCTTGGAACCTGTTTCTCTCAGTTGGTGTGCTTTGACGAGAGCATAACAAGCTCGAAACCGGAGCTTTGGTTAAATACTTGTGTTTTCCAGAGAAGTTTTCCAACAACTCTTTCACTGCCTTTAATATAAAAAGGGTGAAAGGAGCATTATTTGGAACTGGAACCGAAAATTAACATTCCAAGTATATCCTTAGAATCAACCAAGAATGTTATGTCTAGGATGCATATTGAGAATGATATATGTAGATATATTCTAAGAATATTTCAAGCATATTGGTATAATATTCTTTTGGGAACATAACTATAATGTCATAGAAACATTCTTTGAATGTGAGAATACCTATACATATCGAGCATATTTTTAGAATCAAACAAGAATATTCTTTTCAGGATGTACTGAGAATCTCATAGGTATATTCTAGGAATATCCTAATGGATTTCTCAGGAAGTTCTTGGGTATTGCAAACAGTATTTCTACAATCTTTTCTCAGAACATTCTCAGGATATTCGCAATGGTTTTGGCGAACATTCTAGGCACATTCCTCCTAAAAAAAGAACATTCTTAATACATTCTAAGGATGCAATTTTGTTATGTGGGTTAGTACAATCTTTCAGGTAGGTGCATAGAAGCAACATTCCTAGTACGTAAATAGAACGTTCAAAAATGAATATTTCAATCGAAACAATCTTAGAATATTCATTGAACATTCCTAAAAGAACATTCCAAAAAGCACTTTGAGGGAATATTCTGAGAATGTGAATGTTCTTTTAGTCTTATGTGGGCATGACGTCACGTCAAAATTGGTTCAAACCGTTTCGAAATACAATCCAATCGACGTTTTATTTTCTCGCACCGAGAAATTATGACGTCATGGTGACATTACTTAAACCAGTTTTGAAAAATGTTTTGAAACATTTGAGACGCGAGAAAACGCCTTAGGTCTGTTTCTGCAGCAATCACAAACCAGTCAGAGCAAATTTCATTGGATGAAAACAGTCAGAAACAGTCAGAAAACTAGTTTCAACCAATGAAATTCACTCTGATGGGTTTGGGATTTCTGTAGAAATAGACCTTTTATCGAGAATTCAATTAAAGTCTATTTTTTTAAAAGATAATTCCCCAAGTCAAAAATTTAGTAACTATGTTGGCAACACAAGCCTTTTCTACATAAAAATTTGAAATCTTTGATTTTACATTGTATTGCCAACCTTATGTCATTTTGACTTTCTTTTAAAAAAAAAAAAAAAAAACTTTATACTATCAATGACATAAGCAGACGCTTGGCATGGGCCGCGATATTGAATTTTTTCCTTGAAGGATCGTTGGATTGCAAGGATAATACACACTACTACAACTAACTACTACTCTACAGGCTAGCCTATCTTTATAAGGCCTGTGTGGAACAAATCTGAAGTCCCCCACCACGCCAAATCACCATTTGTGACGTAGGCAGCATGTTCCTCCTTGCTTTGACGCAGGCTGTTTGCACCACAGGTTATGATTCCGCGGGCTTTTGCTTTATGCATACTTGGTTTTACTACATTCTACATTAATTAACATTCTAAAACAACTCTTTTTTCGATCTCGTTTTCATCTTCCTCTTTGCCTATTATATTATTATGTTAATAAAAATTAAACAATATAATGCTACGACCTCTAGTGCTGACGACTTCTTAATGACGTCGGATATGGTGACACACGAATATGGCGGCGATTACCAAAAACTAGGCCGATAAGCAATGTTTCGTAGTGTGTATCATCCTTGGTTGGATTGCCTTATGAACGTTTTCTTTTCACCCGAACAGTTCAGCTAGAACAGTAATTGCACAGATTTCTCACCCTAGGACAGGCATTTATGAAAGCGCTACCTGCTTATCTCACGACGTACCGTAACCTCAAATTTCAACATCCAAATCAGGATTTTAATTACCAAAGTTCTTATCTTGAATTTTTAAATTTAAATTAAAAATATAATTATAATTAGTACATATTTAATTTAATTAGTTTGATGTGAACGTTCTGGCATCCAGTTTATCTTCCTTCAGTGTCCAGTGATATTGTAACGTAGCCATGTTATTAACAAAAGCATCGAACCCTAGCATAAGATTATTGTTAAAAAGGACTTTTCATAATAAAAATGGAAAATTGTTACAAAGGGAGAGGCGTGGGGAGAATCCCATAACTAGAACTGGTAGAATTTTATTAAACGATCTTAAAACTGGTTATAAAATAATAACAAACCCTGGCAAAATAACTAAAAGATTTCCTAGTGAAACGGATATTGTTGTGATAGGAGGTGGTGCAATAGGAAGTTCCATAGCTTATTGGCTCAAAGAGAAATCCAATGTAGACTCTTTTGATGTGGTTGTAGTTGAGAAGGATACATCCGTAAGTGATATTTTAAAGATTGTTTGAAGGTGAAATTAGAAATGTTTTTTTCTAGTTGGTCCCAACTTCGAGATATTGACCAAAGTCTGGTTTTTTTCAATAGGACATCCTATATATTAATAGCTCATTAGAAAGCTCTGCCTTTTCTGATTTCAATGATATAAAGTTCGATAGGTTTATCTCTAACAGTTTTCGAGAAAAAAAATTATTTCGGTTTTTGTCATAAGAAACAATGTGTTGGAAAGAGACCTTTCTCAGTTTCCTTACAAATATAAAATCCTTTTCTTACACATTGCTTCTTATGACAAAAACCGAAATAATTTTTTTTCTCGAAAACTGTTAGAGATAAACCTATCGAACTTTATATCATTGAAATCAGAAAAGGCAGAGCTTTCTAATGAGCTATTAATATATAGGATGTCCTATTGAAAAAACCAGACTTTGGTCAATATCTCGGAGTTGGGACCAACTAGAAAAAAACTGAGAACGTCACTGAATTCTGCTTGAAAAAGTGTTTCTAGAAAATTTTTACGGAAATCAATAATTTTCATAAACAAAAAAGTTATGATGGTTTCACAGTATTGCTCAAAATTGAGAATCGCCCTCTAGCGGCTAAAGGGTTGAAGATATCAAAATGCGGTTTGCACCAATCAAAATTTCATGAAATTTGAGCCTCGGAGTGGGGGGTTAATTTTTTTGTATCTCGCTCAGAAATTGACATTTCCTATTAAAACCATCCAAATTCGGACACCCTGTAATTTATACCTATTCTTTATCTATACAATATACAAAACAATCAAAAGTTCATTATTGTAACTTTGTGTTGCGAATCTTTATGAAATTGTTTTAATAATGTCACAAAAGTTGGAGTGATTTTTGTTCTGTCCCACCCCCACCATCCAGGTGCTTACAGCAGCAACTTCAGATTCAAACAAAATTGATTAATAAAAAAAACTATCTTCATGCATTTCTGAATAATAAATTGAACTCTAGAAACTCCTAGTTTCAGATATACAAATTACATATAATTAATAATTATTTGTATGTGCCCAGCAAAAGATTCCTGATAGGTCATTTTCCCACTTTTCAAAAGCCATATCAATTTTTTGTGTTATTCATTCTAATAACATATTATGTATACTTTTTTCCCCAAAAAAAACGCTTATTTTTGGAAATAAAATGATTCAAAAATCAAATTTTTAAACTGCTGCAAAAACACGAGCTCGGAAAGTGATGTCACTTTCCAAAAAATGCAGGGATGCCGAATTTCTCATTATTCCTACAACTTTGTTACAACTTACTACCTTGTTAACATTTTGGTTCTCACAAAAACTTTGATAAAATTTTCAAACAAGCCAAAACAAAAGGAAATTGGTCAACAAAAAAAAGTTACAGCTCAAAAACAAAATTCCTTTTTTTTTGGGCCACCCTACACAGGGTGTCCCACCGAGAACGAAATCGATCTATACAGTGTGATTACTTAAGTGTGCAACATATGGGGATTTTTTTTAGTAATAGCAGAAGCCAAATACAAACAAGGCCAAAAGTTGGTGCATGTCTGATAATCATATAAGGTGCACTTAAAATGTTTGCAAACAGCATACAGAGTAGCTCAAACAATATCAAAATTGTACTGTAAAGTACCCTTATTTTAGAAAATTCAGCAAAATGTTATTGAGAAAAGTTGTTTGGAAGTATTATGCCTAAATACCAAAACATGGCCTCCTAGGTTTTTTTTTTTTTTTTTTTTCGAAAAACATTAATTTCTATATTTTTTTTTAATTTTTTATTTCCGCCCTTGATACTTCTAAAAATTAATTAAAATCAAATCAATTTTACATAACTTTGTTCAAATTCAAGCATATTTGTGAAATTAACTTATATTTTTAATTTTTTATGGAATCACAAAGTTCATGTTTGTTGCAATGATATAACAACTCAATTTTTTTTTTAACAACTTAAAACATTACTTATGATAGTATGCATATTAAAAAAACTCTCCTTAAAGTGCAAAAGTTTTATTTTATTTAAGTTAATATTAGTACAATTTTGATATTTTTTGAGCTACCCTGTATGCTGTTCGACTTGCAACCATTCTAATTGCACCTAATAATAATATGAGTATCAGACATGCACCAACTTTTGGCCTTGTTTGTATTTTGTACTACTAAAAAAAATTCCATATGTTGCACATTTAAATAATGACACTGTACATACTGCTTGTTAAAAAAGTCAGATTTTGATGCAATACGAGGTGCGTTTTTAAAGTGTGTGCCAATAGGGTACTTGCATGAAAAATTAAATTGATTATTGTTTATTGCAAACTGTAGGAAATCGAAAAAAAATCGATGCGTGTTTTTCTATTTTGTCCAAATATGATTATTTCGGAAGTTATAACAAATATTGAGTTTTGTATATATAGATATACTGAGCATGTGCGACGTCACAACTCACAACGTATTATACCTAAGTTATGACGTAGGAAGGACATTTCAAAGCGTTGTATCTCCGTCAATTTTTGGCTTACAAGAAAAAGAAAAAACACGTGTTGACTTATTTTTCATGGACTATCGAAATCAGCAATAAAAAAATTTGATGCAAGGAGCCTATTCCAATGGCCGCGACTGTACATACACATATGAAAACTGTATGCAGAAAATTTTTGAAAATTTGATGTCTCTTAAGCTGGAAGAGCAAAGTCAGCAGAATCAAAAATCAACATATGGAACATTAAAGGCTTATTGAAGGCTAATTAAATACCCTAATGAGAAATTTTTGGCTCCGTGAATTTTCGTGAAAATGACTGTTCTGCTAGCTTTAACTTAAGCCAGCAGAATTTCAGCGAAAAAGTGGCTAAAACAATGAAAATTGCAATTCCACTTCCACAGACATTAAAGGCTTCGGAAATGCACTAATCGCAAATTTCAGGCTCAATTACTTTTTTTTGTGAAATAGCGAAAAGTCGTGATGCGTGGGTGATGTCGGCTAAGCCTGGCGGAAAAACCTCTGACAGTGAAAATCCGTGCTCCGATAGTGCAGTCGTTGTGAATACATTAAAAGCTAATTAAATACTGTAATGAGAAATTTTTGGATAAATGGCTGTTCTGCTAGCTCTAACTTAAATCAGCAGAACATGAGCGAAAAAGTGGGTTAAACAACGAAAATTGCAATTCCATTTGCACAGACATTAAATGCTCATTAAGGACTCCGCGATTTTCAGGCACAATTACTTTTTTTTGTGAAAATGCGAAAAGTCGCATCGCCTGAATGTGGTCGGCCAAGAATGGCCCCTCTAAGAACAATGCTATTAAATTATAATGAACATCAAAATCTTTTAGATATATTTGGAGACTCACTCATGAAACTCAAAAGAAAAACTAAAGACCTGTTTTTAGGAAATGAGTAGCATTAAAATTACATAATACAGCTAGAAGCACCTATATATGTTCCGTAATATTTAGTATTCTCCAACTAGTCCTAGTTTTTTTCTTGTAAGTTAAAACCTTAGTTTAGTTTAGTTTGTAACTTAAACACAACTGTTAAAAGGGTTATCCACCTGTATTAGTTGTTTCAATAAATAAATAAATTAAACTTGTTGGACAGTGAACTTAGTGTCAGTGACTTATTGAAGGCTAATTAGATGCTGTAATCAGGAAGGTTAAGTTAGTTTTCAATTTTAAAATCAGACTTTTCCAAACTTACTAAATCAGAAAGTAATTGTTCATGCAACTTTGTTATTTTATATATTTATTCAAAAATGCGAAAGAAAAAACCGTTAAAAGCCATACAAGTTCAAATCAAAATTGGCACCGCTCGCGCAGACTCGGCGTATGTGAAAAATATGTGATTTATGAGAAGGAAGGAGACAGTACGAAGCCGTGTCTCTAAAACCACGTCCGCTTTTTCGGTCGTTATCAAAATCAAAAAACCTATCGATTTCAAGGCAAAAATTCCTTATTTTTATTTCTAAGACTGTGTTGTATCGGTGTGTCGCTGAGAAGCAGACTTTCTGGACACGAGGAGCTCCTCTGGATCGACGAAAACCAGCATAAACCAAGTAAGTGCCAATCCTCCATATGGCTCGGGTTTATGTCCATTAATATTTGTGCGGCAAAATTGAATTTAGCGCTACAGTCCCGCTGCTCTTTAAACTTTCGAAAACCTAACGCAAATTTTCGTGAACAGTAATTGAGCCTGAAATTTGCGATTGGTGTACTTCCGGAGCCTTTAATGTCAATGGAGGCAATCCAGCTAAAATATTTTCAAGATGATGGCACTTCCGGTTATACTGGAAGTCTCGCCGGAAGTATACGTCAAAATGCTTATTTTTAAAGAGACACCCTGTATATGATTGCATATCTGGATTCTACGTAAATTTCTGTGCAGATTTCATGTGATATGCGATATACCTTATACCTAAGTTCAACTGTTTTGGAAATATTGACAGTTGGAAATTGACTTTTTTGCAACTCTGACAGGCTGTAAAACCTAAACGGTTAATTTTAGAGGAACACCGATTTTACATTTCTATCTCAGATTTTTATAAACTATCATTTGAAACCAACTTTGAATTTAATCCATGATTAAAAATTCCAGATAAATTTAATCTCTGGTTAAATTCATAGCTGGCGTCAAATGACAGTTTGTGAAAATCTCAGATAGGAATGTAAAATCGGTTTTCCTCTAAAATTAAGAAGGTTTCACAGCCTGTCAAAGTTGCAAAAAGTCAATTTTCAACTCTTAATATTTCCAAAACAGTTGAACTTAGGTATAGGGTATATTACAGTGGCATAGTGGCTAAATAAACCTTTACATACAGTGGCGACAATAGAGGTCCCGCCGCGAGTCCCGCCGCCATTTTGTGCCCAACCTCTTGCTACTTTCAAATATAAATTACCTATATAGGATTTAAATAGACATCCATTATAAAACATTGAGAACACATATTTGATGTGCCTAATTATAGTCATTGAATACGTTATTTTCAATTTGGTATGATGGATGTCCATTTAAATTGAGATTTAAATCCTATATATTCATATTTAAAAGTAGCAAAAAGTTGGGCACAAAATGGCGGCGTTTACCATATGAATATATAGGATTTTGAAGAACCAATCAAAAAGAAGATGGCAAAGGGCAAGTTGACGTCTACTTCCGGTACAACTGCAAAGATATGTATTGTGATAGTTCGTTGGAATGAGCATAAAAAAAGGAAAATGATCCATTATGCTCGCATTATGTATTTACTTTTGCATTTGGGTGATGTAGAAAGCGAGAAAAAAATGAAAACATATTTTTCCAAACAATTTTTTTTACAGTTAAAACTGTTGAATATCTTCAGCATTTTTTCTTGGTAGAACCCCGTAGAACCCTAATGCGAAACAACATTTGTAACGTTATGTAATTATTTCTGACGTTAACACACTATTTTATGCCTGATACTCGGATTCTCAACCCTAAAATAGTGTGTTTTTGTCAAAAAAAATCAAATAACTAGATCACCGAAATGCAAAAGTAAATAATGGGTCATATTCGTTTTTTTTATGCCCATTCCAACGAACCATCACAATACAATCTTTACATTTGAAAAATAAAAGTTGGGGGTGGTTTCCCTCCTTAAGAAAGGGGTAAATTCCATGAACAGGCTGAAAAAATGTGCCAAACTGAAAATAAAGGAAATCGTTTTTTTAAAAAAATTTCCAGAAAATAAACAGGTTTTCTGATACTGAATAGGGTATATAATGGACAATTTTTTGAAATATTTTTTTTAATAATCTCTATAACAAAATAAATAGTTGTTGATGATTCTTTGATTTTAGAAAACAAAAATATACCTAAAAAAATAAATAAAGAAATTTGTACTTATTTTAAACACTATAATTTACCGCCTGGAAATGACGTAGAATCAAGGCGCGAAATATTTTCGTTTAAATAGTGCGTCCCAAAACTCTACTTTTACAATCGTTTTAAACAAAGTTAGCAATTTTTTCAAAATTTCTTTCAATAGGAATATTTTTCATTTACCTACTCCATAGATAAACAATAGATCATCGATTTCATTGAAATTATACCTTGTCCACTACCCTATTTATTCCATTTAAAAATTCCACCCTGTATATATAGATCGATTTGGTTCCCGGTTGGACACCCTGCATAAGTATGTACGTACCTAATTAAGTATTTGTTACATGATTGCATAAAATATTAAAGTATATTCAATTTGTCCTGTCTAATAGGAAAAAACATGGCATCCATCCTAATTGGAAATTTCGCATGATTAAATATGGCAACAAGCGCATGAATCTGTGTATCTGCTTTGGCCAATGAGAGGTTGCTTTGTTGTTTATGTTTTTAGACGCGTCATTTTTTGTTTCAATTTGATATTTTTATCTATTAATTTATTCAATAATCTGACTGAAATCTTGCAAAATTTTGTCCATTCTATCTATCCATGTATTTGCGTCAAGAAATATCATAATTTGCTATATTCCTCGAACGTGAAAGTGGCCTGTTAGGTCAAACATATTTATAATTTTAACATTTTATCTAACAAATAATAATTGGTTGACACATGATATATATGTATTTCTATTTGCATCATCAATATTACAAGATAAAATAAATAACTTCATAAAAATATTTCAAATATGTGATTAATTATTATCTCAAGAAATGTCTTCATTATTATTAATTTAATTCTAGCTTGATTTGTTTTTTAAATATTATGTATTTTATGGGATGAAAGATACCCTCAAAGATGCTAAACTTATCTATTTACCACTTAAGTATATACATAAATACAGGGTAATTAAAAAGTGCCAGAAAGTTCCATAAGGAAATGTCAGAACGATACTTTTTTTAAATGTAACATTCTGTATATTATTAAGCTTTATACAGATTTGAATATTACGCCTATCAATAAACAGAACAACAAACCAAAAGACAAGTGAAAAACTAATTTGGGTTCGGGCTACAAACGGCCAGGATTTGCAAACCAGTTTGCAAACGCGTTTGTAGCCCTGTTCAAATTAGTATTTCAATCTTCGTTCGGTTCATTGTTCTGTTTGTTGTTTGGCGTAATGTTCAAGTCTGTACGTATGACTATCAACATGCATGGTTAGACCAAACAAGTTAAGCAAGTAATTGAGTGCTTGGACATTTACATTTTCAGAACATTCCTAATCTATATTAAAATTAAAATCACCAACAAGAATTACAGATGCATGCCCCGATAACAACTGAGTAAGTGAGACAATATAACTTCCAATCTTTACAGGTATAATGCCAAAAGATATGATGCTATCATTCATAAGAACTATTGAGCTGCAGTGAATAAAGTCCTTTCTACTATATTTGCTCAAAGTAGTGTAATTAATAAACTTTCATCAGGCTTAAGCCAGTGTTCTGTTAAACAAGAGAAATTCAAGTTCAGAACCCTTTCTTCTAGCTGATTGAATATTTAGTAATAAAATACTCACTAAATTTGTGTTTCTTCTAGAAAAGAATCATTTTTTTTTTATTGCAGTATAGCAAAAGTTCAACATGTTTATCAGTAGGCGGTTTACGGCAGCAATTTTCTCTATCGGAAAATATACAGATGTCACTTTTTGGACACGAGTTCATAAGAACTTTAAAAACTCGATTTGGACCTCACGCAGATGTAGCTTTCACTCCACACGGATACCTGGTTTTGGCAAGTGAACATGGGGCTGACCAATTATTGGAAAACGCCCAATTGCAAAAAGACTTGGGAGCCATTAATGTTGTTTTAGAGAAACATCAAATCAAAGAAAGGTTTGTATTATTGTAATTTGTATCTATCAAAATCATAACACATGATCTCTAGCAAAGGCTTTTGACTTGTCCTACATCATAGAAATCAGACATAGGTTTTTCTTAGGTCTACAGGACATCATAAAAACACAATAGAGTATTCTTGTATATTATGTATCCTACTGTAGCTTAGTCTGACTGAAAATCTGTAAATAAATGAAATGGTAAAATCAATATGAATCATAACATGTGTGGTTAGTAGTCAACTATGTTTGGCATCTTAAATCATACTGTGGTGATGTTCACAGAACTTGAGCACTAACTTTTTTTTATCTAATTACATTCACACCATCTTTAATGGTTAGCATACATCTCCTGTATAAATTTTTGATCGTCACATAAAACACATTTAAATTTAGTTGGGTTTGATTAGACATTAAATTTAATATAGTGTAATCTATAGGATTTTTACGCTATATTTAAGATGACGTCGCATTTAATAACTTTCTGCTGCCAACCTAACAAACCTAAAAGTACTTTTTAACGCATTTAAAGTAGGAAAATTTCAGATGTTCTTGGTTGGCAATGGCGCGCGAGGTTGCATGACTTGTATGAACATTTTCATTTCGTTATTTTTAGCTGTCGTCAGGATTATTGACACATGATATTCTGGTAAATTATAAAAAAAAAATAGGCATTGACAACATTGTCTGTCCTTGTTCGATGACGTCATCCTAAATATAACATAAAAAACCTATATCAATAGATTTTCAGGTTTCCATGGATGAATGTCGATGATGTGGCGCTGGGATGTCTTGGCTTGGAGAAGGAGGGTTGGTTCGATCCGTGGTCGTTATTAAAACTGCTCCAGACTGGTTCTGAAAAAAAAGGCGCCCAGTATATTAATGGAGAAGTTGTAGGTTTCGAATTTCGAGATGTTGATATGAATATAGAGGGAGTCCAAAAATACAACACTGCAGACCAGCCTTCAGCAGTGGTGGTAAGTACATCAGAGATAATAAAACAATGTACGTATTTGTAACTGGAGTATAGTAAATTACTATTGTGGCTCAAATTGAAGAAGTCATTTTTTCGTCTTGCTTATAGCTTTTTATATATTGTCCTTTTAAAATATATTCCCAGGTTCAGAACCTATTTTCCATTATTTTATGGTAGTCAATATTGGAAAATGCTGTTTTATGAGCCTAAAATAAATGATGAAGAATCGTTTGTCAAAGATCCGAATCTCTCCTGGAATCTAGTTAGCAGCAGGATTGTTTATTTGCATGTAAAGTTCATGGAGTTTTTACCAGGTTTCGGGCTGAAACGATCCATGAAGTGCTGCCCCACTACTGGAATCTGCTGACACATTAAATCACTACAAATCTTAGAAATTTGAATCTTAAATTTACATTGACACCAAGAACATGATTGCCAGGCAGTTTTTTAAGCGATCATGTCTTATGATAAGATCACTTACAACCTCATGCTTAGAGGGGAAACATGAAAAGATTGTAGTAGTATCTTTCCTTTTAGAAATCTCAGATTAGATTTTATTAATACCATATCTCGTACTATCAAAGTATGTCTAAAAAAGGGCACAATGTAGTTAAGTAATAAATTTAGAAAAAATTGATATACATTTAGGTTTGATATTTATGTACTTAATTTATAATTATAAATCGTTTTTACTTAGGTAAAAATGCCAGACGGTGAGCTTAAAACAATCCGTTTCTCGTTATGTGTAATAGCAGCTGGTGCTGAATCTGGTAAAGTAGCTGAGAAGCTTAGAATAGGAACAGGACAAGGAATTTTATCAGTACCACTACCAGTAGAAAGAAGGTAATAATTATTTGTGCTACTTCATTATTATTTTCACATATTATGATGCATTGGTGGAATAATTAAAAAGTACAAAATTTTGATTTTATTGTTAATTTTAGGAAACGATACGTTTTTGTTTTTGACTGTGAAAAAAATGCACCTGGTCTCAATACACCCATGACCATTGATTACTCAGGGGCCTATTTTAGAAGAGACGGTTTAGGTGGAAAGTTCATATGCGGATTGTCACCTGATGCAGAGAATGAACCTGACACAAAAGATTTAGAAGTAAATTATGAATTTTTCGACCAGCACGTGTGGCCTCTTTTGGCACGTAGGGTTGACGCTTTCAATGCAGTTAAGGTATGTAGATTTATTATGTAGTTTTATTGTAGAAAATCCCTAGCAGCGATATGAGTTTGTTTATAAAAAATATAACAACTGTATATTGGTTCTAATCATTAACATTTTTTAGGTGAAAGGCGCCTGGGGTGGTTTCTATGAATACAACAGTTTTGATGAAAACGGAATCATCGGGCCCCATCCGGCATTCACAAATGTTTATATTGCCACTGGATTTAGTGGTCATGGTAAGTATTATTTTTCACATGCTTTAATCCTAGGATAAATTATGATTCATTTTTAGGTATACAACAGTCTCCAGCCATCGGTAGGGCTGTTTCTGAACTTATATTGGACGGAAATTTTCAAAGTATAGATTTAACTAGATTAGGATTTGATAGGATGTTATTAATGAAACCTTTACTAGAGGCTGGCATAATATAATAGTTTTAAATAACTGAAACGTTTTTTTTTAGAACCATTATCTTTTGTACCTATAATAGAACTTGATGAACTTGTTGGCATTGAGTGGGATCCTCAATTTTTTAAAGGAATTTTATTATTATTACTTCTAGTAGCTTATTATGGATTCTGGGTTAACTAAAACTCACTAAGACAAACAGCAGGTTACAACTTTTATTAAACAAATTGACTTTATTTAAAATTCACTTATCACTTATCGAAGCGTACCAACAGTTCTTGTATCTAAACTGACTACAAGAACACTCTTGCTTAGGACTGACTCAATACTTATTACTACGCGCATTCATAGTCGAAATCGTATTCCGGATCTATCTAGAAAATCATCTTTGTTGAATATGATAGAATTCCCAGAGAAGACATGCTCCCAGACGTAAACAACAAATTATCTACTTAGAATCCGCCCGGACTCGCAAGTTAATTTCGTAACAGTATTATTGGTTTACAAGAGAAAGTGGTTCAAAATTTGATGAGTTTAGTGAATGCAGTTTTGCATGGAGCGCTTCAATCATACAATGAAAATACCAAGATATATTATTGTTCGTAGTGTGGCATCTGTGTTCCAAATTGGCAGGAGTTTATTTTCAAAATAACTACCACTCTTACCGTTAAAGCATTTCACTGGATACACCACATGATTCACCAGGAATGGTTTTTCTTGGAAAGAGAGAAAGAGGAACGATTAACATTGAAAATATATCCTCGTAAATTTCAACTAAATTTTAATATTGTAAAGGTATCGGGTCTTCAAAAAAAAAACCAATCAAAGATTGCTATGGTTTTTTAAACGTATGTCTTAGCAATATTTTTCTTTAATTTTGACAATGTCAGTCAATGAAATTTAATGTCAAAATGTCATGTCAAAAATCCTGACCAATTAGGCAATTCAATCCATCTGTCAAAAAGGAAAATTCAATGTGACTTGGCGGCCAAGCAAGTTTGTTTTGAATATGTTTTTATGCGTATTCTAAATTATTTTGCATACAGTTTTGCTTACAACTTTGATTTTCATTATTTAATAAAGTATTTGTTGACTAGGTACCTGAACTATTAATTCGGACAGAAAAAAGATATTTATTTGTCACTCATTTGTAAAACGTCATTTATCATACATATAAACAACGAAAATTGATTTTTACCAGTTACTGGCTCTACTGACTTGTAAAATTGACAGCTAAACTGTAAAAACTTTTTACAAGTCAGTACGGTCAGGAGAATTATTTATTAAAATTGTATTACTTATGTATTAATTTTTTATTCATTGTTTACAAATGAGTAACAAATAAATTATTGTACATCATACGCCAGGTATCAGTTTTTACTGGCTCTTGAAGGTGACAAGCTCGCCTGAGGGCTCGCTAGTCATTTCCTTCAATCACCAGTAAAAACTGTTTTACCTGGCTAATAATGTAAAATACTATTTTTAGGCGACTGTCAAAAAAAGATTAGTTTTACGGATTCAATATCATCCCTAAAGTATATCTTTTTTGGCCGCATTTACTTTACGGCCGCATTTACTTCACGGCCGCATTTGCTTTATTACTTTACGGCCGCTTTTACTTCACGGCCGCTTTTACTTTACGGCCGCTTTTACTTTACGGCCGCTATATAATTTGGTGAAAATATATAAACAGACAATCGGAAACGCGGTCCGTAATTATAAACACAACCAATAAATAGTTAGCAACCACAATGGAACCAAATTTTTGATTTTAGCCCTATCCTATTACTTTTTCAAAAAAGCACAATATAGGATACCATGCGAAAAAGTCGGCAATTTTCTATAATCACACTTCCTTTATTGTAGTTTTTGTTACTAATAATTATGTATCTACCTATCTTTGCTGGATTATTTATCTAATCAATAAAAAGTTAAAGCTCCTGTTGAATTTTCGTCTTTTTTCAAGAAAAAACGCTCGCCTAAAAAATTTTGTGTGCACCTCGGCCGAATGATCTTTTTTGGCCGAATCAGAAATTTGCGGCCGAGGCGTAGCCGAGGCCAAGCAAATTTCAGGTGGCCTTGGTACACAAATAACTATTTTTGTGTTTTTTGGCCCATGTGTGGCCGCCACGCCATCTTGAATGTCACGTGGTTTGAATTGCCTAAAAAAGAAACAATAATGCGACGTACGTTTTCGTAACCAAAGCAATCTTTGATTGGTTTTTTTTTTGAAGACCCGATATCATCATTGCAAAAAAAAATTTGAAATGTAAAGAAGATTATGTCGGGTCTTCAAAAAAAAAAACAATCAAAGATTGCTATGGTTTTCTAAACGTATGTCTTAGCACTATTTTCCCTTAATTTTAACAATGTCAGTCAATGAAATTTAATGTCAAAATGTCATGTCAAAAATCCTGACCAATAAAGAAACAATGATGCGACGTACGTTTTCGTATTCAAAGCAATCTTTGATTGTTTTTTTTTTTGAAGACCCGATAATATGTCTGTGATAGCAGATACAGGGTGGGGACTTTAACTGGAACTAATTCGCTAGAACCTTAGGATAAAATATGTGGACAAAACGCAAAAACACGTCAATCAAGATTTTTTGCTTGAGTTTTTTTCACATTAATTTTTTCATACAGGGTGTTCCAAGAACAGCTGTACGGTTGTTAACTTTATTTTTCCAAATGTTAGCCCCTGTATATTATGACATTTCTGGATTCTGCGGAAAATTCTAGACATATTTCATGTACAATGTCATATACCTATCTTCAACTGTTTCGGAAATATTGACAGTTGAAAATTGACTTTTTTGCAACTTTGACAGGCTGTAAAACCTTAACGGTTAATTTTAGAGGAAAACCGGTTTTACATTCCTATCTTAGATTTTCATAAACTATCATTTGACACTTACTTTGAATTTAACTGGAGATTGAATTTAACTGGAATTTTTAATCATGGATTAAATTCAAAGTTGGTGTCAAATGAAAGCTTATGAAAATCTAAGATAGGAATGTCAAATCGGTTTTCCTCTAAAATTGACCGTTAAGGTTTTACAGTCTGTCAAAGTTGCAAAAAAGTCAATTTTCAACTGTCAATATTTCCGAAACAGTTGAAGATAGGTATATGACATTGTAAATGAAATATGTCTAGAATTTTCTGCAGAATCCAGAAATGTCATAATATATAGGGGCTACCATTTGGAAAAATAAAGTTGACAACCGTACAGCTGTTCTTGGAACACCCTGTATAAAAAAATTAATGTGAAAAAAACTCAAGCAAAAAATCTTGATCGACCTGTTTTTGCGTTTTGTACACATATTTTATCCGAAGGCTCTAGCGAATTAGTTCCAGTTAAAGTCCCCACCCTGTATATCCGCCTGTCAAAGTATGTAGGTCCTTCCTATGCTATGCATAGGAAATATCTGAGGTTATACAACTCACTGTACATTATTCCCATATGACACGAGAGGATTAATAAGTGATAATCCTTCCCATATGACATGAGAGGCTTAACAAGTGATAATCCTTTTGCACGGTAACTGGTGTTTTGACATTTTTTGACAAAAAATTTAAATTTTTGATTCATGAAATTATTAATTGAAAAAGAATTAAAGTTTAGTTCGTTGTATAACCTTTTAAATACCACTCGATGTTTCAGGCTTACCTAATACTTTTACCTGACACTCAACGCATTACCAGCAACACCACTCCTCCTTCGGAGTCGTGGTGTTGCTGCGTAACGCGTTTCGTGACAGGTAAAAGTATTATCCGGTAATCCTGAAACCTCTTGTGGTATTACATTCGATTATACAACTCACTGTACATTATTCCCATATGACACGAGAGGATTAATAAGTGATAATCCTTCCCATATGACATGAGAGGCTTAACAAGTGATAATCCTTTTGCACGGTAACTGGTGTTTTGACATAAAAGTATTATCCGATAATCCTGAAACCTCTTGTGGTATTACATTCGAAAATATCCCTACGTAGATTTTCTTGAGTATCTCGAAAATACTAATCCGATTTTGACGTTTTTGAGGTCCTTTTGTAGGATCAAACCTGAGGATCAAACCCCCATTATAATCCTTGAAAAAATTGAGATTTTGGAGATAGGGCGGTAATCATTTTTAAAAATGGAATGAAGCACGCTTCCTTTAAATTACATAAAAAATCCAGGTCCGCATTTAAAAAACTGAAGTTGATGGTAGTAGCTCGATCACGAAACGTCGGATTTTAAATTTGAAGATGCCGCATGTTGTAAAGCTGAAAAAGTTATGAAACTTTCAAATTTAAATAGAAATCACCCTGTATTGGCCTGTATTTTATAAACTAAAATGAATAGGGAACTTGCAAGGGAAATAAAATTTTCCAAATTTGATTTAAATCGATAATTTATACTGTACAATATCCATATGACCAGTTTTCATTTAACTAATACCGCCATTGTTACACAAAAAATAATACTAAATTTGAAATAAAAAAATTCCCGCCAAAACAATGCTTCCATGATGGCCCCTTTTTTGACGTCACGATTCTGTAAACAAGCTTGTCAAAAGGGAACTTGCAAGTGAAATTAAATTCCAAAAGTAGTCCTATACAATATTCTTCATCCATCGCGACAATTTTCACTAAAAGAAAGCTTTTCCACTTTTAAATAACACAAAAATAGCTGCGTCAGCAGGAGTTCGTTTGCTGCGTTTGTTGTTTACCAAATATTGATGTCACAACTGCTGTCATATTGAAACCGCGCGTATTCGCGCCAAAGTTTTTAATTTGAATTTCAATAATTTTTTTTTCCTACAGCCGTGCGGAAAAATCGATTTTCCGCACTGATATGCGTGCGGAAAATGAGTTTTCCCGCACGGTGCGGTAAAACTTTTACCGCACGCATATCAGTACGGAAAAAGTTTTTCCGCACGGCTGTCAGTGCGGAAAAATTTTTACCGAACGGCTGTCAAAAAAAAAGAGAAAAATTCTACATTTTTACGCCTGTAGGAAAAATATTGTACCTAACACTTGCGGAAAATATT